TAAACCCATCGCAGGACTTCTTAGCTTTGTGAGATGCCTATCAGGTCTATCAAAAACTGAAAACTTGGGGGCTGGACTATAGCACAGCGGGTAGGGCATTTGCCTTGCACACGGCTGACCCAGGTTTGATTCCAAGCATTCCATATGGTCCCCAGAGCACCAACTGAGTGCAGGAGTAACCCCTGAGCATTGCCGGGTGTGACCCAAAAAGCAAAAAAAAAAAAAAAAAAAAAAAAAAAACTGTAAACTTGAGGAGGCACATACCCAGGTTCACTATTCCAATCCTAACATACTAAGGAGGAAATGATTTGGAGAGGCTTCAACTGGTGAATGGTAAAGATATACCACGTGCAAGGAACTATACTGGAAAATAACTAGAATCTTGTAGAAGCTATAAAATGTGTGCAGAGACACACACATACATGAGACAGATATAGTCTATAAACACACAAGTATAACTCATGCAAGGTAAAAATTATCAAATTACTCTCAGAAAATAATATTACTATGAGAAATGGAGTAACTTTGGTTTGAAAAGATCATACGGCAACATTCACCGGTCCTAGTAGGCTGGGTGGGTTTCACAGATGAGAACATTTTAAACAACACACCTAGCAAGAGCAAAAGGACTAGGCAAAATGCTACCACACTGGCTAAGCAGTGGAGAATGTCCAATAAATTTAGAACTATTTTCAAAATGAAAATACTCAAAATGGAGCTGCACTCAGCTATGTGTCATCTCAGTTCAATGTCAGAATTCTGCATGTGTAGTTACATTAACACAAACCAAAAAATGACTAATAGTAACCTAGGTCAGACAATTACATTTGTCTTCCAACAAAAATAAAATAGTTAGGGGGCTGGAGCGATAGCACAGCAGGTAGGGCGTTTACCTTGCACACAGCCAACAAGGGTTCGAATTCCAGCATCCCATATGATCTCCTGAGCACCACCAGGAGTAATTCCTGAATTGCAGAGCCAGAAGTAACCCCTGAGCATCACCAGGTGTGACCCCAAAAGCAAATAATAATAATAATAATAATAATAATAACAATAATAATAATAAATAAATAAAAGCTATCAGAAAAAATAATAATACACTGTAGTCTGAGCAAGATATTCGGGTCATTTTTAAAAGAGCAAAACAGCCAGAGCTAGAACTATCTCAATAAGTCGAGTGCATGCTCTGAATACATGAGGTTCAGATTTGATGGGGCCCCATAACAGCCAAGAGTAGTATTCCAGCACAGAGCCAGCAGGGGACCTTGAGCACTGCCGAGTGTAGCCCCAGAACAAAAAATACAAGAAGAGAGAGAGAGAATTAATGCAATAGAAAATCAGAGGTATTTGAAAACCTTCTTATAAGGAAAGAAGTGAACTGGAAAACCCTTAATTTGCTAGGTACAAAAAAGGCAAAGATGCATGTTTTTTTAAAAAAAAAGGTTTATTATCAAAGCTTTAGATTCAGCATTTAAAAATCTCAGAACACAGGGTAATAATAAAGTGCTAGTAATTATATAGCATAAAGCAAATTATAGTTACCTTTTTTTAAATAGTGTGTTCTATGGGTTTGGCAAGATAGGAGAGGGGGAAAGAGATTTGCCTTGCTTGCAGATAGCCTAAGTTCGATCCCTGGCACTCCATTTGGTTCCATGAGCATTTCCAGGAGTTAATGCCTGAACACAGAGCCAGGAATAAGCCCCAAATACCACCAAGCATGGCCCAAAAATATGTAAGTGTTCTATTGTTTCTCCTGAATAATTTCCTGCATAACCACTACTATCTATGCCTAATTTTCTCTCCCTTTTTGGAAAAGCAGTGTTTCAGGATATTATCTGACTCAAACGCTGTCAACTAACAATACAAATGGGATTTTTTTTCTACATGTTGTTTGAAGTTCATTTTTTTGTTCCGTTATGAGTAGTACTGTTTTAACACTCTTCTACCCAATTCAAGGGCAAACATCAAACATTAATCATCAGTGACCATTGAGACAGTTCAAAAGACTGAAGAAATGCTTCATATGCCGGGATCCCCCGGTTCAATTGCCAGCACCATATGGTCCCCGAAGCACCAAGCTGACAGTAGCCACTGAGCATCAACTTGTGTGACCTCCCGTTCAACCCAGAAAACAATGATCAGTTAATAATCTAACCAAGGTGTGTCATTCCTAATATATTTTCTTTCTCTCATCTTTATCTGAGGGTCACAGCTGGTGATGTTGAGAGGCAGAGGCATCCCGGGACCTCAACTTCCAAAATTTACTTTTCACTACAAATTCCAGGTCTATGTGAAGATTTCTCAGCGTGGTTAAACAAAATCTGCACCTAGAATGAAGGCCGAGCAAAGGAAAGTGAGGGAAGTAGAACAGATGGGTAGCGATCCACACCAGAAAAAGAACTTTAATGGTAAACTTAACTTGAAAAACTCAGAGCTGCAAACATATCATTGTGTGTGACGGTATTTTTATTGCTTCAGACTCCATTTGCATTACCTGAGTCTTAACCTGCATCTACCTTCACACCTTCCAGTCTTGATGAGAAAAAACTCACCCCATTGGATCCCCAATTCACAACCTTGGAATTCTGTTCATCCTTCAAGTCTCACTCAGTTCAAGAGACATTCCTGCCAGTGCTGTGACCACCTTGCATCACAGGACATTGGACTCAGGTTGTACATTTTTTGAACTTAGCTTCAGTTTTACAAACTTGTAAATCTCCCCTCATCACAGCCCTTGTCACATGGGCAGGCATTTGAGAAATTAAAAAACCATGATCAGAGGAGACACATTCAACACAAAACATGATCCTGTTAAGAGAGCAATATGAAAGTTGCTACAGGAGACCAAGATATTAAGAACATGATGAGCAGATGTCCAAAACAACCGCAGAGCATTTAAAAAAAAAAAAAAAAAGATCCCACAACCTTTTAAATGCAGTACTGGACCTCTGTCAGGACTGGCTACCTCACCTGCCCTGGCCTCAGCTCCCCTGAGGAAGGCGGGCACCACACAGGCTCCTAAAAACAGCTCTCCATTCTGCAGCCTCTCCAGCAAGGGCCATGGAAAAGCACGCACCGCAGGGCTCAGCCACAGACAAATGAGGCCCATTAGAACACATTTAGATGGTGCTGGAGCCAGCTCCCCCACTGAACAGCAGGGTCTGGCCCTGTGGGGATGGGGAATTTCCCAGCAAATCGGAAGTAGCAAAACCTGGAGGAGGAAGGGGAGAGGGGGCAAGGAAAAGAGGGGAATTCACCGATAGGCATCTTTGGCGATTTTCCTACTATAACATCTCAAGTTTACTTAAAAGGAGAGGCGGGCCTTGCAAAAGCTTTTGATGTCTGCCACTGTCTTTTCTGAAAACCTTCACTTGTGTGTGTGTGTGGGGGGGGGGGCGTTTCTTGTAACTGCAGGCCCCAAAACCGATGCCCCAGACCCACACGTCATGCCCCACCATCTCACACTGAAAGAGATGAAAAGTTCTCCCTGCCCTTCTCCTTCCCACTTTCTAAGGCTGCAATGAGCCACACATGGAACAGAAGTCCAGCCTCCCAGGAGAAAAGTGTTCCAGGCCCTCCACGCTGCGTCTGTCCAGGGCTCAGCCCACCTAGCCAGTTTCCACCGCTTGGTTCTCCAGAAGCCCAGTTGTTCACATGGTCCCTCTCTGTACGTGTTGCCAAAGGCGCTGGCACAAACACTCGGTGTCCAGGTGCCAGGAGCACACCTCCCCGTTTTCTCCCGGTAACTCTAGCCGCCCGGCCGGCGGGAGAGAGGAGACATCTGCAGATTCCCACCCTCGGAGGAGCAGATTTCCAGGCCGCCCAGGGCTGCAACCCTCCCCACGGGCCAACCAACTACACCAGGCATGCCCGAGTCGTCTCCGCACTGCTTCTGGGGCTGTTTGATTTTCGGGGCTGTTTCTCCCCTCGAGTCCGGGGGCCGGCCGCCGGGGGTTTAGGACTCACTGCCCATCACCTTCTGCATGCACACCTGCGGCCTGAACCTAAACTCCTGGACGGGACCGGTGAGTTCCTCCTGACCCGGTATGATAGGGGATTGGGAACAAGGGCCTGGGTTGGGGATTGTGTGGGTGGCGATGATTAAGAATCCCCATAAACTCCAGACATGCCGTCTTCTTTCTTCTTCCGGTCCCTTGTTAACCCGACACGTCTCCTAAAGTCCCCCCCTGGGGCCTATCGGGGCTCCCCCTGGCCTGCAGCATCCGAGCTGCTCTGAGCGACGGGGTGGGCTTTACACCCGACTCCGGGTGCGCAAATACCAGGGAGGCGCCCAAAGGAGGACCCGCCGAGTGGGTGGGAGGCACCCGACCCACCACCGCGGGGGGCGGGGGATCCGTCTTTTTTGGGGGGGGATCCCTCCTGGGCACCCACCCCTGACAGTAACCCCAAGAGGGCGCCCGCGACCTCTCCCCCTGCACACCACCCCCCTCCAGTCGCACTCCACTTGGGACGCTCCGCACCCGGGGCCCCGAGGGGGTGACGCGGGACTGGGTCGGGCGCGGCGGAGCCGTCGGGGGTGGTGGAGGGGTGGTCCCCGCGCGACACCGTGGGGGGGGGGGCGGTGCGCTCTGCCACCCGTCGCGCTCGCCCGCCTGCCCGCCCTCCCGACCGACCCGCGGCGGCGGTGGGTGAGCGGCGGCGTGGCTCGTCCCCGCGCGCTGGGCCGCCGGCCTGCGCGAAGGCCACGGGCCACCCCCCACACACACACCTCCCCTCCCCGGGGTCGAGCCGAGCCGAGCCGAGCGGCCGTCGGCGTCCGGGTGCGCGTCCCCGCGAGCGTGAGCGCGTCCCCGCGTGCGCGCGCCCGCGGATCCCCCACCGCACACACTCCCCCCCCCCACCCACACACACACCTCCCGCCCCTACTCCTCCGCCCCCGGCGGGCCCGCGCGAGTTGCACTAACTTTCCGGGGCCGGGGGGAGGGGCGGGCGGCGCGGGGTGGAGGGAGGCGGAGGGGGGGCGGCCTCGGGGGTAGTACCTGTGCTCAGATTGTCGTTGATTTTCAAGGGCACCCGCAAGACGTAGACGAGGAAGAGCACGACGAAGAACCACACGGTCCAGAGATAGGTCCACGACCAAACTATGCAGGACTTGAGCTGCTCCAGGAAGCCCGTGCCCGCTTCAGCCATGTTTCGGCGCGGCGCGGGGCGGCCGCGGCGCTCGGCGTCGGCCGGGATGATTCACCCCCCCCCCCCCACCCCCCGCCTCGGGGCGCGCTGCGCTCGCCGCCGCCGCCGCCGCCACCCGGGAGCACCCACCCCCCCACACACACCCACCCACCCTGGGAGCCCGCCTGCCTGCCCGGGACGACGCGGGCGCGGCGGGGACGGGCGCGCGGGCCTGCTCCCGTGCAAACGCTGCTGGCCAACTCGCTGCCAGTGGCTTGGGTGGCGCGGTCACGTGGCCGCGGCCCCCTCGCGCTCCCATGCCAGGTCCAGCGCCGGGTCCCGGAGGAAGCGGCTGGACTGGACGCGGGGAGGGTGCGCTACCGTGGATCCGAGGGCTCCTCCGCACGGAGGAAGGGAAACCGAGGCAGCGGCCCGCGCGCCGGTCCTCGCCGAGAGGGCGGGCTGGAATTCGGTTCCCCACGACGACGGGTCCCGGGAAGAGGACGGTGAGGGGGGTGGTTGCCCTGAGGGCTGGTGGTGTACGGACCTCCCCCCCGACCCCCCCCTTGGTCCCCTTCTCCAGTGTCAGGCTGGGAGAAAGCAAGTCCGGGCCACTAAGAAAAGGAAGATGCGATCCGGGTAGTAGTAGGCCCGAGGGGAGCCCACCCGGGGAGCAGGTGGGGGGGGGGGGGGGCGCACACGCGCTCTCCCTGGAGATGCGCGTCCTGGAAGCATCGCTGGGGTTTCCAAAGAGACCGTGACAGCGGGGAAGTTGGTCCAGTTTTGAAGATGATCGCGGTGCTACTGAGTGTGTGTATTATATGCACACATTTATAACACATTCCCTGGGATGATTTTGGTATATTTTTGAAATGGCAGTACTTAACAAAAAAGTAAATTTCAAACTTTTCTTTTTCTTTTCTTTTTTTCTTTTTTTTCTTTTTTTTTTTTTTTGGTCTGAACGGAATTCAATGTTTTCTTTGATCAGATAAAAATTGGAAATCGTTTTCTCGCCAAAATTTCTCCTTCTTGGTATTCAATGGTAAAGGAAGTCCTTGTGGTTTTCCGATCTACAGCCAAGCTATTTTTAGAGTTCTGAGCACTCCACAGAGTATTTTATGCCAACTTTTCTCACGGTGGAGCTACTGGTGGTATACATAAAAGAAAACTCTCACACTCTCACAGATGCCGGCCGCTGTTTCTCCATACATTTGATCTACTACTGTAGTGACAGGCAGCAAGATAAAAGAAACTGACTTGCACAGTTTTTAATAGTTTTTCATAACTATGAATTTTTTTTTTTTTGGAGTGGGTGAAGGCTTGTAGTGTTCAGGGTTTACTTCTAGCTCTATGCTCAGAAATCCATCCTGGCAGTACTTGGGAGGGGGAGGGGAGGAGTCATATGTTGTGCGGGGGATCAACCCTGGGTCAGCACAAAGCAAGCACCTTACCCATTGTACTATCTCCCTGACTCTCCACCAATTTGTTTTCATGATAGGTAATTTGTTTATTGAGATAATATCAGCTCACACTAGTCTATAGTTCACTGTCACTGTCACTATCCTCCCGTTGTTCATCTATTTGCTGGAGCAGGCCCAGTAAAGTCTCCATTTTGAGACATGTTGTTACTGTGTTTGGCATATCAAATACATCACAGGTAGCTTGCCAGTCTATAGGTAATATCTCTCAAATATCTGCCCTCTATCAAAGCCCCAATTGCCTTTCTCCCCACTCCATTTCCCCTCTTTCACCCATAATCACACCCATTATTCACTTTCCCCTCCCATTCCAGTAACTTGCTGTAAGAAACCAAGGTTTAGTTTGGCCTGTTTTTTTTTATTGTTGTTGTTGTTGTTGTTGCTTTCTTGACAGACCATATGTGAAGTCATTTGTATCTTTCTCTTTCTGACTTATGCAGAAACACCTCCAGTTTCATCCACGCTATTGCAATAGCAAGATTTCATCTCATAGCTGCATGGTATTCCACTATGTTAAATACTACATCTTTATTCATTCATCTCAGTTTGTTTGTATATCTTGGTAATTGCAAATAGAGATGCAATGAATATAGGGGTGGAATTTTTTTTTTCAAATTAGTGCCAGCAACAACTTTTGTATCTAACAAGGATATCTTTGTTCTCAATGGATTGAAACAACATGAACCACCTCTTTGATGTAATGATTAAGGGTCTCTGCAGTAGAATTACCTACTTAAAGAAACATTGTAGCACATTGTTTCCCTTGCCTTTCTGGGGCTTGCAACCACAAATGGAGGTGGGGTTTAAAACGTATCTTTGCACTTGAACCCCCAGCTGAGGGGGTGTGATCTCCTGGCGCATGACTCTGGGCTCTGTGAGGAGTGGTGTCGAAAGAGATTCTGGTTTTCAAAGTCGGCAGAAACACTTAGGTTTCACAGTTACTTAGCATTGCACACACTAATCCAAAGAACCAACCGCAAAATTACGCAAAGGGGAATTAAAGACATAGAAGGGAGGGTTGACAGAATCTTAGAGACTGGTAGAGCCGCAGGGTGAAGTGAAGGTCAAAATGGCTCTGAAGTGGGGTCATCCATAAATAATTACATCCCTAATCATCTCTTGACCACCTCCCAGTGGGATGGCCCACAGCCACACCAACTTTACCACATCCACAGCTCATTTCTTCCTCACCTCCAATTTTTCCTCCTTCTAGAGTTCCACCAGGGCACTGACACCCCACTTCCAGCTTCCTGATCAGAAATCTGAAAATCAATTTTACACAGATCCCTCTCTTACCTTCTGTCCTATCTACATTCAACCAGACACAATTTAAAGATACAACTGGAATACGTCACTTCTCTCTATTTCAGATCCTTCACCTGTTTTTCATTTCTACTAGCCCAGTCAACTCTCAAAGGACAAGGCAATGGGTTTTCATACCTCTACTTTGACACACTGAACACCACCCCACCATCATTGCTGTCATCGTCGTTGTCATCACCATTACCACATACTCTCTCCATCCATCTTTATTCTTCTGTCTCTACCAGAATTACTTCTTAAAGAATAAATCTGTGAAGATACCCTGCTTAAGATCCTTTAAGGTCACTCCTACTATACCCTAATACTGGATAAACTCGAGGTGGTCCACAGATCCTTTGAGGGCATTCCCAACAATCATGCAGCCTCACATTCTACCCCTTTCACTCAGACCACCAGCATTTTGATGGGCATGCCTGCCATCTCTTTAATGCCTTCAGAGATCTGCTCCATAGAGCTTGCCTCTGGTCTTCCTTGTGCATCCCTCTTTCAACGGATAACAACTTAGTAGAGATACACTTAACATATCACCCTCATGGTGACACCAGCTCCCTTCTGTACCCAGAGTTCACCATCCCTACCCTGAGATGCAGCAAAGCAGAAAATTTATGGTGGGTTATTAGGACAGAGGCTTGGAGAGAGAAAATAATGGAGGGACTATTCCTAACCCTGCCACTCACTACCTGCTTGCTGAGATTCTCTAGATAGTTTCTTCCTCCTATAATGGGCTACACTTGTATCTATGTCAAACTGTTGTTGGAAAGATTCAGTAAGATACATACCAAGCATGTTTAGCACAAGTCTAATCAGTATTTTTCCTTTCTGTAATTCAAGGCCTTTAATGTTAAGTAAGTAATTTGTTTGTGTGCTTTTGTTATCTTCTTACATCCTAGTAGAAATTTAGCACATCAGACATGCTCAATAATTCCGGAAAATTGTAGCACTGCATTGTATCACTGCCCTCCCATTGTTCATCGATTTGCTCGAGAGGGCACCAGTAACATCTCCATTGTGAGACTTGTGACTGTTTTTGGCATACCGAGTACGCCACAGGGAGCTTGCCAGGTTTCGCTGTGTGGGTGGGATACTCTCAGTAGCTTGCTGGGTTCTCCAAGAGGGACGAAAGAATCAAACCCGGGTCGCTGCGTGCAAGGCAAACACCCTCCCACTGTGCTATCCCTCTGAATATTGTATAAAGGGAAAAAAATCAATTACTTCAACTCGAATTCCAAAGCTTACATTTTTACAAAAAATGATATGCTAAAAATATCTAATTCGTACCTCTGAAGCAGATACTGAAATGAATAAAAACTAATATACTAGGAAACAACTTTAAGAGTTCTCTAATTTATCCGCTTTTGGTTCTGAAAGTGATATTTGGACATATGCACATATATTGACTGTTATCTTTAGTTTTATTTTTCATTCTAAGTTTAAATATTTTTTGTTTGGGGGTCTGTTTGGGGGCCACACTTGACATTACTCAGGGCTTACTACTGTTGATACTCAGAGGATGGTATGAGGTGACAGTGGTAGAAATGGGGCTGGCCATATGCAAGCCAAGCACCTTAACCTCTGGACTGTCCAGGCTCTAAAATATAGTTTCCAAACAATCTTCAGAGCCCCTATAATATTTATATTCAAAAATAACATCTGACTTTGTTTTTCATTAAAATTTTAAGTATCATCCATACTCATAGGGCGTTTGCCTTGCACGCAGCCAACATGGCCGACCCGAGTTTGATTCATCCGCCCCTCTCGGAGAGCCCGGCAAGCTACCGAGAGTATCTTGCCTGCACGGCAGAGCCTGGCAAGCTCCCAGTGACGTATTTGATATGCCAAACACAGTAACAACAAAGTCTCCGATGGAGACGTTACTGGGCCCGCTCGCGCAAATTGATGATCAATGGGAGGACAGTGACAGTGACAGTGACCCATACTCATAATTGCATTTATGAATTGGTCAATATCAGAAGTTCCTGGATAACAATGCCACCTAAGTGGCTAATATTTTAATGACTTACCTAGAACTGAAGAAGTGAAATGCAATCAAGCCTAATTTTGTGAACCAATAAGCAAAAGAATAAAAGAAAGAGAAAGGGGCTGAAGAGATTGTACAACACACAAACAAATTACTTAACATTAAAGGCCTTGAATTACAGAAAGGAAAAATACTGGTTAGACTTGTGCTGAACATTCTTGGTATGTATATCACTGAATCTTTCCAACAACAGTTTGACATAGATACAAGTGTAGCCCATTATAGGAGGAAGAAACTATC